ATGCAGACTTCCAGGGCCACGGCCGCCTACACCGACCTGTCTGCTGGCCCCAGTGGAGGCATGGCCCCAGGCCCAGGCTGGCACGGCCACACATGGGTGCCTGTGGCAATGTGGGTGCAGGTGGCGTCATGGTCCCGGGGGCCGGCAGCACCTCTAGCAGGCAGAGCAACGGTCACCCTTTTCCTGCAGGCCCGGGTTGCGTCGCAGCATGTCCTTGAGGGAGCCGTCCTGCTCCGTGAGCAGCTGGTTAATCTCGTTCTGCTTGTACTCGGACGAGAGCTTGTGGCCATAGAAGGAGCTCTTGGCTGAGGAGGGGTTGCTGCTGTGGTGGGCGCGGCGGGCACAGGCACGCACCACCAGATAGACCAGCTCAGCCAGGTTGAGCACGATGCAGATGGCCGATGTGGTCAGCATGAAGACGGTGAAGACGGTCTTCTCAGTGGGCCGGGAGATGAAGCAGTCGACCGTGTTGGGGCAGGGGTAGGCCTCACACTTGCCCAGCCGCACCATCTGGTAGCCGGGATAGAGCATATAGAAGATGTACATGAAGGCAGCCTCGAAGAAGAGCCGGAAGGCCACGCTGCTGACGTAGGTCCACCACAGCGCACCTGAGATGCGCATCTTGTGCTTCTTCACCTCCTCCAGATGCTTGGGGTCACCATGGCCCGTCAGCAGCAGCAGCTTCTTCTCCTGGTGCTGCTGGTAGGCCACATGCATGGCCACGAGCAGGGCTGGCGTGGTGACCAGGATGAGCTGCAGGGCCCACAGGCGCACATGGGAGATGGGGAAGAAGTGGTCATAGCAGACACTGTTACAGCCCGGCTGCTGCGTGTTGCAAGTGAAGGCCGAGCGCTCGTCACCCCACACGCTCTCGGCTGCCACCACCAGCACCATGATGCGGAAGATGAAGATGACCGAGAGCCAGATGCGCCCAATGGCCGTCGAGTGGCGGTTCACACCGCTCAGCACCGCGTACAACCCGGCCCAGTTCATCCTTCCTCACGCCTGCAAGAGAGAGTAGCAGCCTGTCACTGCCCGGGCAGCGAGGGCCCAAGAACAGGGACAAAGGGGCAGCAGTGGTGAGGGCAGACCCCTGCGGGCATGCACGGGCTCTGGGCTGCCGTCTGGCATGGGCCCTTGGCAGACCTGGGGCTGCGATGCTTCAGCCTCCGGGACTGTTTCTAGCACCCATGCTTGTGAAGAAAACCAAAACCCTGCCCATGGCTGCTATGCCAAGGCTATGCCAGCACCTGCAGCCAGCCTGGGACAGGCAGGAGCCACAGGCGTGAACTGCCTTGTGCGTCCCTGCCCCTCACTCCCCTCAGCAGGCTCCTCGCGCTGGACCTGCTGCTGCCCCATCACTGTCCGCGGCATCAGCTCTTGCTGCTGCCTTGCGACCAAGCTGCTCCCCAGCCTCCTCCCCAAAGCCCTTGCCCTACGCAGCCTCCAAGCCCAGTGCTTTGGGCACTGTGGCCATGGCCCAGTGGAACCGAGCACATGGGGGGCAGAGCCTGGCACCCCTGAGTGCAGCCCTGGCCAGGACAACGAGTGCTGGTGGGAGTCCTTAGTGGCGCAGGGGCTTTGGTTCACCCACGCACCTGGGACCCAAGGGAGGCTGTGCAGCCTCTCCAGCGGCACCCGCACCCCACCCCTGCTTCATGCAGGCTCTTGCTGCGGGACCGGGGCCTGCCAACTGTGGTGGGCGCTGAGGCCTGGCCCCAGGGCAGCTGCTCCCCACACTTGTTGGGAAGCTCTGAGGGACTCTCTTACCCTGCCCCAAGCTCTGACCCCCAGCCATGGCCTCACAGGCAGAGTATTCGGGAGCGCTGAGGGCCTCTGCCTGGGCCCTGCCTGGGGCTGAGCCAGCAGTGGCTGCACTGGGGGCCGCGCCTGATCCACCCAGCACCTGGTGGTTTGTGCCCTGCTGTGGAGCCCTTCGGCCATGAGCCGCTGGCCTGTCCCTGCGCCTGGGCCTGTCCGCACCCCCTGGGCATGCAGAAGTGGGGGGACTCACGCCTGAGGGCAGCCTCCCTGGCCCTGCCAGCCCCTCCCAGAGCGGCCGTGCCTCTGGGCATCTGCCTGCCCACGCTCCTGGGCACCATCCCTGCGCTCCTGCTGGACCCTGCCCAAGCCATGATCACCGAAGGCCTCCAGGGCCCCCCCGCTGGACGCGCGCGACCCAGCCTGCAGCCCCCCGCAGAGCCGGCAGCACGGCCGGGGGAACGCTGCTCCCCTCGGCATTGCCAGCCTGTAGCCACGCACCCAGGAAACCCTCCTCCCCTCCCTGCCAGCGGCCGCGCGCGCCTTGGGCACGGGTCCTGCGGGGCAGGGCCAGCAGAGTCCCTGGCCTGGACGGTTACCTTGCAGCGAGCCGCGTTGCTTCTCGAGCTGCCCAGCGGGGCCCTCTAAAGTCTCATGGCTCCAGGCGGGCGCGAGCCCGG